TTATTCAAAATGATGAATTCAATAAATTCATCATCATATTCATCTCATTCATCAAATAGAAGTGTGTCTACTACACTTGAGTTATCCTCTAACATCTAGTTGACAAGACATAACATTCAAGCACCAATATTCAGTATATACAAATATAACATGATAAATTATTCACCAAAATTCACTATAATCCCTAGCTAGTAATCAATATTTTTAAAAGTTTATCACCAAATTGAAAATCATGCTCATCATAATACTTTAGCTAATCATATAAAAAAATGATAGTAAAAAAAAGTCCAAACTATATAGCCCTGTAATCCATCCTAATATGTTCAAGATTTCAAATAGTCCAAATTCTACAGATTCTTTAGCCACTAAATTTGGCACTCTATAGTAAATGTCAAGAATGCTTGCCTCCAATATTCATCCTTGAAGGTTTGAGCTACTTTCAAGACATGCCCAACATTGATTACTCCCATCATCAAGAATTCATTCACAACTTTCATACATTTAGAGACTGGGTTCTCCTTACTCCATTCTTCCATTTCTTTATCCTTTCTAATTCGTCCCTCCATTTGAAACTCAATCATATTCATCTTACATTTGGACATCTCAGACCATATCTCCATAGCATGCATAAAATCACCGCCTTGTTTGGCCCTCTTCCATTTTTTAAGAGATGATGGTAAGGAGCCCCTTCTCGTTAACCTATCTGTAGGTGGTTGAATCTCTATGTCAATGTCAATATGTTGAGTGTCTGGAGTGGACAAATAAGGTGTTTGTATGTGATTGGGGGTGTTGTCACCAATCGGATATTGAGTCAGTGGAATTTGATAATTTTCTTCATCTAAAGGGGTCTCCACATTACCCATGGAGCTGTAACCGGTTGCACTAGTCCCTGAATAAATGATTTCCAACTCCTCATAGTATGGACAACCCTTTTTCCTTATCTGTTTAGCACACTTATACTTCTGCATGAAGCATATTTGGTGTTAGCATCCTAATAATTTGAAATCTATAAAAAAATTAGTGTGTGTGTGTTCATAACATTCTTACCGAAATAAGGTAGTCCCATACACACTCACTGGCGCTTGGTTTCTTTGTTATTGGATCTATGGTGACCCCTATATGGTTGCAAATTTTTTAATAATCATTGAACTTTTTTTAAGATGGTGAAATTTATTCTTAAACTGATCTCGACTATATGACTTATGGTGCCTCTGGTTGAATTTCTCCACAATATTTTTCCAACCTTCCGTATTAAAAGTTGATATTGGCCTATTGTGTGTTTTTACTTGCTCAACCATCAACTTTATGAAAGTCCTTTCCTCAGCCTCACAACATGTTGCAAATTCATTTGATATTTCCTCTTGCATTTTATCTACTTGGGTTGCCATATATTTCTATAGAATTCGAGTGGGTGGAGTGAATTGTAAAAAATATCAGAAATTTGCAGAAGAGTAGAAAAATCACAAAAAATTGCAAAAATTATGTAGAAAATACCACAAAATAGCAGAAAATTGAAGACAATAACAGAAATTGCAAAAAAATCAAAAATTGAAGAAAAATGGTAGAAAATTACAGAAAATTGTAGAATATACCAGAAAATGCAGAAAACACTAAAATTTGCAAAAAACAAATAGCAGAAAATACAAAAAAAAAATCACAAAAAATTACAAAAATTATGCAAAAAATTGCAAAAATATAGAAAATACCACAAACTAGCAGAAAATTGCAAACAATAGCAGAAATTGCAAAACAAAAAACAGAAATTGAAGAAAAATAGCAGAAAAATGTAGAATATACAAAAAATGCAAAAAACACTACAAATTGCAGAAAATAGCAAAAAATGTAGAAAAATTGCAAAAAGTATGCAGAAAATGTAGAAAATACCACAAAATAGCAGAAATTGCAAAAAAAAATCAGAAATTGAAGAAAAATAGCGAAAAATTAGAGAAAATTGTAGGATATACCAGAAAATGCAGAAAACACCAAAATTGCAGAAAATAGTAGAAAATGCTGAAAATTGTAAAAATCATGCAGAAAAATAGCAAAAATGCAAAAAATTATAGAAAACTGCAGAAAATATAAAAAAATACAAAAATACCAAAAATTGCAGAAAATTGCAGAAAATAGCATAAATGCAAAAAAATACAGAAAATGTAGAAAAAAGACCTTTTTATAATTAATAGATCCCTGAATTTGGTTGTTCTATTTCTGTGTTATATCAAATGATAACCATTTCCATCTACCATAAGTAAATAATAAACTGAAAACTATAAAATCTGACCTCAATAATGGATCCAATGCATACTAAACAAAATTCTACAAAACCACCTATTGAGATAAAGCTTTGCAACTTGAGATAACAATTTACTTTGAATTATTAGCTGATGCCATTTAATTGGGATGTTATAATTAATCAATTAAAACAATATAGAGCCATCCCACCTAAAAGAATGGGTTCAGCAACACAACAGGATTGCAACTTCAATTCTATTTCAGGAGATTAGCAAACTTGACAATGCAAAATGTCATAATATCATAGTTACTTTAAATTTCATTTATCTAGAACTGGCACTATTTCAGCTTAATAACAATTGTTAAGGAGAACAGGTTTTGGAAAGGGCACAGGTTGGATGGTCTAGAGGAACAGGGAGGACCTAGAATTTACAAAACCCTCCCCAACCCACTCCATTGCCATATTTACTATTTTCCTTTTGTTATAATTTCTATATTTCTCTTTGTTGTGTTTGGTTGCAATGCAAATAAATTTGCAGTGATGCAAAACTATAACAGTGCAAATGATTTGAGTGTAAATTCTGATATATTTATGTTTTAAATTTTAGTTTATTCTGTTTAATTGCAATATAAATAAAGTAAATTAAGACATGAAACAAAATAAAATAAAACCCAAAACAAAATTAAATGAAAACCGAAGAAAAGTAAAGGGCAGTTTTAGATAATAACTCAAAAAAGAAAGATTGGATATGGGTCCATCTCAATCCGATCAGGTTAAGATCTGTGTCCAATAATATTGACATGAATTTGCATGGTTTAAATACTATAATTTCATGTCCCTTCGGAGAGATCCATTAAAATATCACAATTTCATCACATGCAAGCTCTTAAGTTCAATTCTCATCGAAGTTATTTTTAATTCATTTTATTAATGATGTACATCCAAATCGTTTTTATTCCATTTTTTAATCCTATATTATATAATACCAATAGGCCCAATACTTTGGTAGAAAACAATGCCAATATTTTGCCTAATAAGTAATATCCAATATGACCATCCCAAATCTTTTCCATTGAACTGGGAAAATATAATTTTTTTTTTCCATATTTTAACTTATTAATATCAAATCTGAATTCCGCTGTGTGGCTACATTTGTCAGTTGAAACACGATTGGGATCATTCTGTCGGATTCTATTTCCTTTTTTATTTTATTTTATTTTTTTGGGAGGGGTTACCCCTTGCGAATAACTTCCCATCTGGGATGTTATGTCATTTCAGTTGGGTCCCAAGCAACATATTGGATTTGCGAAAACCCTGTTTATATACAATTTCATGGAAACATTGATCAATGCTGTATTGTATAAATTGAATTTTTCTTTTTGTTGCAAGGATAAATCTTTTAAAACAAAGATCTGAACTTGACAAGGCAACAAAGAACAGAAGAATGCAAAACATGGATGGATATTGCATTATCTACCTTTCCATAAAATTAGTAGTTTGTTTCAATAGAAATACTTCTGATCAACACAAAAGGCTTCCGCTGAAATTAGGGTAAAATGTAATAGTATTTATCTAATATAAATAGCAGTAAAATATAACTGTATTTATTTAATATCAAATTTTTATTATTAATTATGGTATTAAATTACTGTTATTTAATTATAGTATTTTTCATTAATTACAGTATTTATTTCAACTAACGGTATTTATTCAATTCATTAACAGTATTCATTGCGTGCAGTCGTCCTAACCCTGCTAGGTACCGAGGATTATGAGGACTAAAGTCCCCACCCCGATCCAACCCTGAATGTAATATATTAATATATTAAATACTTTTAAAATTGGGATAGTTACTTACAAATTTGGGGTAAAAGATGGGGTGTATGATCCCCGCCTTGAATCTGACCCATTGCCATTGCTACTTGAACCAATTGGGCCCAATTGAGAATATTATATGGCTAATACTTATCATATTTTGTTGTTTATTTTGCTTTCCTTTGACAAATCCCGTGCATCTCGCACGGGTCCCCGCTAGTTATGGTTTAAGTGATTGAGATATTTTCTTGCCATCGCTATTAATAATCGGGGTTCAAAGATATCACATGTATCAGTGCATATCATATGGTACGTATCAATTTTCATGGTCATAGATACATGCATAGATACTATGAACCTTGCTAGCAATACATTCTAGTTCCCCTCAATACTCACACTTCTCTCTCAGATGTCTTCACAAGTTAAAGAACTTTGATTAGGGATGTCAATAGATCGGGTTTAAGTGGTAAACCCCCTTGACCCAATCCTATCACGTTAGGATCAGCCTAGCCTTAATTGGGTTCTGGGTTGGACCGTGTAAAAGTTGGCTCGTATCAAAGTCAAGGAGTTGACATGGTGGGATTGAAACATTTGCAAAAATGGGCTTTGCTGAGTACAATGGTACTATTGCGGAATGGGTTGGTTTCATGTTTAACTGGCCTCGGTTCAGGTACAGGTTAAACCAAACCATACCAAACTTAACCCATTGACACCCCTGATTTTGATGCTGTTCAAGGAGAAGGGTCCTCTGTTTTCACTCTTCCTACTGGCTTCCCTGACCCATCCTTCTCTGCCTTTTTTTTCCCTTTTGTTTCTTAACCAAATGATTCTCCTGAAGTTATCATAATACAGAATAAACTAGCCAGGGTAAATAGAGAAATAAGAAATTACAATTAAAATTAAAAGAATTATAATGCAATTTACTATAACCTTTATAATGAATTGTATACCAGTGATAAATACTTCATTATACAATTTTGGGGAGCCATCTCACCAATCTCTTGCTTAATCATTTATATTGCTTCTTATAAATAAAAAGGAAAAGAGAAACCAGAAAAAAAAAATTAAGAATTTAGCCTCAAATCCTGACGCTGCTGCTACTCGTGACAGTCATAATCATACTTGGCCAAAAGATTAGGAACAAGCCCCACCTTCCATGTTCATAAACAATTTGGAGATCACCAAGATGCTTTGTTAAGAGTGGATGCAGAAAGGCCTGAAAAAATTGGCCAAGAAATTCAGAAGGGCCTCTACTTCTATTTTCTCTACTCCAAACATGGCTATGGGTGCCATAACCAAGGAAATTGTCAATGCACGGTTACACAGACTTCCTCGATACATTAGTGCAATTTGCAAGTTGTTGCTACAATCACCTGCATTTGAGAACAGGATCAAGCATCAGATGAAGGCATTACACCAATAAATAGGATTAAAATGAGCACAGTTATCACGAAATGTCGAATCAACACCTTTAAATCCAGATGTAAAGCTGGAAATCTTCACTTCAAATATTGAACTCTTGGGCTTTGTTGGACAATAGGACTAATATTTGCTTTCACAGTGAATCTGCAAATCTATGGTTCAAATGGCATATCAGTTACAAGAACAAGCATGTAGAAATATAATTCAATAGCCTTAGCTAAACAGTTTAATTACTCAGCTGAGGGAACTAGGGTGCCTTACTTACATAATATTAAGGGTTTATATCTAAAAATCTCAAAAACAAAAGTCAAATTCTAAAAACAGCATAGTCACAGAATATAAACAATTTCTAGTTTGAAATAACATTACATATACAAAATCATCACATGGAAAAAATGAAACTAATCTCATGGAAGAAATTAAACAACCCCAAGAACAAAGGTGTAGATCAGCCATACCTAAATATATTTTAATTTTCTATTTAATAGACATGGAACACTTGAGCCATGAGAACTCCAGATTTCTAAGGATAGCCTTACTGAAACAAACTTGAGTGGTAGATCAGTCATACCATCTCTAAAACGAATTGAACTAACATTGAATATTTTCAGTGGCTCTCTCACTTCCTATGCAATTCTATGCCAGAGGCTTTTCACCTTGCTGAAAGGAATTGAACTAACATTGAATATTCCCTCATCTTCACTGTAGGCAAACTCTAAAATTTGTGTAAGATAAGTACCAGTAAAGTTAGATAAAGCCTGGAAGACTGTTACATCATAAGAGTTACTCTTCAAGAAGTTCACAATCATGTAAAAAGAATGGAATATTTAAGTACCGAACGATAAAAAGCAAGTCAAGTTCTATTTTCAGAATACATATTATGAAAATACAAGATAAAAAAAAACAACAGTAACATGATGACCTTGAATCAAAAGGTAATTTCAATAAAAAGTCCAATCGGTTTCAGTAATTAAATATGAACATATGCTTGAAAATACAGTCCAATTAATCCTAAAAGCCAAAGAGAACAACTTACCCTTCACCAAGTATTAGGTATTGCAAGCCAAGTCATTATGGAACAGATCAAAACGAGAGAAATCTTTTAATTCTTTCTCCAACCCCTATTCACAGAACAACTTTCAGCATGAAGCCCTTACTGTGTACCCAAAATAATCTTTTGGGAAATCTGTTCACCAATATGTCTGCTTGTCATTTGAATATCCTCCAATTTTCTTCTCTCATAAAACAGTTGTAAATATAATTAATCAATCTTAGAGAAGTCATTCCTCAGTGAATAATCCTGTCAGTAGTGTTGTGTATCTTCCAGCAGTGTGATGCATTTCCTCCTAGAGAGAAAAGACTTTGTCATTTTAATGTTTTACATAAAAAGATGCCAAGCTATTTATAATATTATCACTAATGCACTTTACTTGCTACATTGAGCCTGTGACATATCAAAAATCTTTCTATTCATCATACAAAGTCCAGCAAATCCTGAAGGAACCAGCAATTCATTTTAAGATTAAACCAATGTGTTACTGTGACAACCAATGAGAAGTTCAGTTCAGCTAGTCTTCAATATATGCAAGAACATTTTCAAATTATCAGTATAAAATCCATTTCCATCTAGCAATTGTTTAGACCATTTAACCTGTTTGTCTCAGCTTGGAGCTGAACGTTCGAAAGGAACTTGGATGCAGCTAATTCCTAGGTGTCAAAATTCCATGTCCCTTTTGAACATGAGCAATTCATCCATTTCAAACCATTTCAGAAAAAAAAAATTAGCCCTTCAGTCGTATAAAAAGAATCAATGCAGCCCCTCAAGTGAAGTGGGTAGACGTATGTCGATGAAAATACAAGTATACAGCATCACCAAAAATCCCCACATGAACATGTTCCATCTCTGAACAGGTGGAATCTGACAGCATCTCTTACTAGTATCTCTCGCTGAACAATCTTAGAAATGAATTTAGTTGCATTGTGGCAATCCCCACAGACTCTGAGGTTCTTAACAACTCGTATGGGCAGACCAGGTGGTATGAAAATCAATCCAAAAGCTATTGCAAGCTTCTCACTATGATGGCTAAGCAACTTTCTTTTCTCTGCCTCATCTACATCATGGAGGACAGAGCTCATATCTGGTACATATCCTTCTTCTATCATCTTAGAATTTAACTTCTCCAGCTCAGTATATATCTGCTCCGAATATGGATTTGATCTGTCATCAGCTGAAAAAATGTATACCTTGTTCTTGTACTTGATCCAACTAAAACCAGGTTCCTTCCTCACCCCCTTATCCCTCATCCCTCTTCTTAACTTAGCAACATCATCCCATTTCCCTTTAGAAGCATAAATGCTAGAAAGCAAAATATAACCTGCTGGGTTCTGTGGTTCTAATTCAAATAGGGAATCAGCTGCCCATTTCCCAATTTCCATGTTACCATGAAGTCTACAAGAACTAAGTAAGGTAGCCCAACCAATTGCATCAGGATGAAAAGGCATCTTATTTATAAAATCTTTTGCTTCTTCCAATCTTCCAGCTCGGCTCAAGAGATCAATCATGCAAGTGTAATGATCAGGGATTGGATCAATTCCATATTCTTGCACCATGGAATCAAAATATTTATATCCTTTCTCCACCAGTCCTGCTCTACTGCAAGCTGAAAGAACCCCAATGAAAGTAACTCCATCAGGTTGCAGTCCATCAGCCAACATTCTTTCAAACAATTCAATTGTCTGGTTTGCTTTTCCAAATTGAGCATAACTTGAAACTAGTGCAGTCCAAGAGACTTCATCCTTGATATGCATCTCATTGAACAGACGGTGAGAATCATCAATGCTTCCACATTTACCATAAAGGGTAACAAGCGCATTAGCAACAGTAATAGATGAAATTAATCCCAAAACTAGGGCCTGGCCATGAAACTGTGCACCCTCTTCTAAACTTGCTAGATTAGCACATGAACTGATCACACTGCCTAGGGTATAATCATCAGGCTTGATCCCATTTCTCTGCATGTCAGAGAAAATTCTTACAGCTTCTTCACTAAACCCATTCTGACCATAACCTACTAACATTGCAGTCCATGACACAATATTCTTGTGAGCCATTCGCTTGAAAACTGCCTCTGCATATTTTATGCTTCCACTCTTGGAGTACATGTCAACAAGGGCACTACCTACAAAAATGTTATCCTTATAATCAGTCCTAATTATGTATGCATGGCTCTGCTTTCCTTGTTCCAAGGCCACAAGACCCCCGCAAGCAGTTAAAACACTTCCAAAAGTAAACTGATCAATAGCCAATCCTTCCGATCTCATTCTTCTAAACACCTCCAGTGCTTCTATTGCTAATCCATTTTGTGTAAGCCCAGTAATCATTGTTGTCCATGAAATTGAATCTCTTTCAGGCATTTCTAGAAACAAACTCTTTGATTCTTCAAGCATCCCACACCTTAAAAGCCCTGTAATCATTGTATTATACATTACTACGTTCCTCTCAGACATCTCTTCAAAAACCCGCTTTGCGTCATAAATCAACCCAGCTTTTGTATACATGTCCACCAAAGGACTACCCACGAAGACATATGATTCAAACCCAAATTTCATTATCTGTCCATGAATCTGCCTACCCAGGTAAATAGCAGACTGAGTCGACGACAAGATAAGCATCGTGGAGAATGTAATTCGATTCAAATTAGCAGGCCCATCTTTCAACATCAGTTTATACATATTCACCGACTCTTCACCCAATCCACAATTCGCGTAGCCCGAAATAACACAATTCCAAGAAACCCCATCTCGACTTGGTATTCTCTTAAATATCTCCTCCATTTCAGAGAGATGACCAGATTTCGAATAAGCAGACAGGATGCCGTTCCATGAGAAGAGGTTTGGGTGAGGTATTTGATCGAACGTGCGGCGGGCGTAAATTAAAAGACCGAACCTAGAGTACGCAGCGATGAGATTATTCGATAGAAACGTATCAGGGTGTCTCTGCGTTTTGATTATAAGGCAATGAAGTTTCTGCGCTAGGCGCTGGTTGTTGGTTTCCCAGCAAAACTTTAGCAGAGAAGAGTAATAATTTGAAAAGGAAGACATTATAACATCTTAGGCGAAAACTGGCGCGACCAAGGATCGAACGTTGGACCAACTGAAAGTCTGAAACTTCGAAATTCCAGACGCATTGCCCTCACGGCAGTTCCAATTCTAACTTCCAAATCCAACTCAAACGTCTTAGATTTAAACCCGAACTGCCCGAGTTCCCTCGAGATGCTATCGTCAAAATCATGCGATCCATTTTTTATGTAGTGGGTTGACCCGAACCATCAAAAAACAGGAACAAACAGCGAAGATTTAGCCTTGTCTGGATAGAATTTTATAAAATATTTTCTTACTTTTGAAAGTACTAAAGGGGTAGGGTCCAAAGGTGACAAAGGGTTCTAAATGAAGATCTTAATTTAGAATGTTAGAGGGGCTGGTAGAATCCAGCTTAGACGCCAATTTTCTGAGTTACTTAGGCAATTTAAGCCCAGTATTTGTTGTTTGATGGAAACAAGGGTTAATCCAAATAGAGAAAAAAAGATTGTGTCTACATTTAAATTTGATAATTGTGTCTGCATTTAAATTTATAAATGTCATCTTGTTGATCCCATTGGTTTTGCTGGTGGCCTCTAACTATTATGGAATTTCTCTTCTTGTTCTATTGATATTATTTTAACAAATGGCAGGCTTATCCACACCTACATTACTGATCTGGAATCCAATAAAAGCTGGTCTAATACATTTGTTTATGCTCCTGGGGCATGGAGTGTTATGGGGGAGGAAAGAGAATAAAGTTGGTGGTGTGGAGGTAAGGCCTTCTCAAACCAGGAATTTTAATCATCTAATTAACTATTCTAATCTTATTGAATTAGACATGGAAGGTAGCCAATACACTTGGAAGAATAGTACTACTAAGGAAATGATTGATTGGGTCCTAACTAATGCAGAATGGAGATGTGAATTCAATGAATGTAAGCTAATGAATCTGCCTTTTTTTACTTCTGACCATATTCCTTTTATACTTAATACTAATTCTTAGGCCTCGTTTGGGCCTAGACCTTTTAGATTTGAAGCCATGTGGTGCCTAGGTCCTAGTCTTGATAATGTGATCAAAAGGGCTTGGGATATTAACATTAATGGTTCTAGGGCCATGCAGCTTTGTAAAAAGAGAAATAACCTTGTTAGAGAACTCAAATATTGGAATAAAAACCATTTTGGAAATGTCAGAAAAAGAAAAGAAGAGTTATTGTTAAAAATTCAGATGATCTAAGACAACTTAGAAAGGGATGAAAGCTCTTCAGAAACTTCTCAATAACACCCTGGCTAAAGAAGAAATTTATTGGGCTCAAAATTTTAGAGTTTATTGGATTAAACTTGGGAATTCTTTCACACCACTGCAACAATTAGGAGAAATAAGAACAAAATTAGAAAAGTTAGAAATGATGATGGATCCTAGATTGAAGATGTTGAGGGGATCAAGGAGATGTTTTGTTGCAGTTTTGAAAATATATTTAATTCTTAGGGCACTTCAGAAGTGGGCATTTTCATTTCAAATATTGATTGTTGTGCCACTCAAACTGTTAATAATATAATCTTTGTAAAGAGGTCACAAATGAAGAAATTCATAATACCTGCTTTCGATGAAGGGTATGAAGACCCCGAGTCCAGATGGTCTTAATGTTTTTTTCTTCAAAAGGTATTGGACTATTGTTGGGGATATTGTATGTAAAATTGTTAAAGCCTTTTTTCATTATGGGAAGTTGAATGGGAATCTAAACAGGACGTTTATTACTTTTATCCCAAAGCAGGAAAACCTGGAGGGGGTAAATGATTTCAGGCCTATCAGCCTTTGTAATGTCATTTATAAGATAATTTCTCAAATTCTTGTGAATAGAATCAAACCATTCCTGGATGACATTATTTCCCCCTTTTCAGAGTGCTTTCATACCCAATAGACAAATCACAGACAACATTCTCATTGCCCATGAGATGATGCACACTATGAAAAAGAAAAAAGGCAAGACGAGGATGCTTGCTTGCAAGATTGACATGGAGAAGGCTTATGATAGGTTGGAATGGGATTTTATTAGAAAAGTGCTTGTTAAATTTGGTTTCCATGACAAATGGATTAATTGGGTCATGGAATGTATTAGCTCTGTTTCCTTCCAGATTCTCATTAATGGCTCACCCTCCAAAGTCATTAAAGCCGGTAGGGGGATTCAGCAAGGTGACCCCTTGTCCCCCTACATATTTGTCCTTTGTGCTGAAGCTCTTTCAAGTAATCTTAATAGGGAGGCTGAATGTGGTACAAATGGGGTGGGCTGTAAAGTTTCTAAGGGAGGTCCGACAATTCCAGTCCTTCAGTTTGCAAATGATTGCATTATCTTTGCTAAGGCCTCAATTAATGCTTGCTTCAAAATTAAGGAGATATTGGATAGATTTGCTAAAGCTTCAGGCCAGCTTCCTAATTATCATAAATCGGCCATTACGTTCTCCAATAACATCCCCTTTAGACTCTAAAGAGTGATGGCCCGAATTCTCAAAATTCCGATAGGGAGTAGAAATAAGACTTATCTTGGAGCCCCTATCATTGAGGGTAGAGTATCAAAGGATACTTTTAAATATTTGAGTGAGAGAATGTCTAACAAACTTGCGGGTTGGAAAAACATTCTCTATCTCTTGCTAGGAGGTTAACTTTAATCAATGCTTCTGCTTCCATGATTCCACAATTTGTTATGCAATTATTTAAAATCCCAAGTAAAGTTGTTGCTGATTTAGATAAAAACAGAAGGGATTTCCTTTGGGCAAAAGAGAATTGTCAAAACCCCATCTATCTTGTAAAGTGGAATAGGGTTTGTACTCCCAAAATGTGGGGTGGACTAGGTGTGAAGAACTTCAAATGGCTTAATAAAGCTCTTCTCGCTAAACTAGGGTGGAAAATTTTAAATTGTCATGATAATCTTTGGGTCAAGGTTGTCAATAATAAATATCTTAGAAACAATAGTTTCTGGGATGCAAATAAGAAGAAAAGTTGGTCTTGGACTTGGAGAGGTATTATGGGTTCAAGAGATCTTATTAGAAGGGGCTCTATGTGGAGGATTGGCAATGGTAGGAGTGTGAATTTTTGGTTGGATTCTTGGGTTGGAAAAGGCCCATTAATAGAATAAGGATAGCATTTTGTCACTTGCCAACCAACAGATTTGGCAATTGATTAAACATATCCTTATTCCCCATGAGGAGTCTGAAGATAAAAGAGTTTGTAAGCTCACCCCAAATGGGAACTTCTCTGCTAAATCGGCCTATGAGGAGGAGTGTCGATTTAATGGTGGTGTGGATTCTGCTTCTGACTTTTAGAAAAATTTTTGGAATATCATGCTTCTGCTAAAGATTAAAATTTTTCTATTCTTTTTACTTAACAATAGACTTTCTACAAAAAACAACCTCATTTCTAGGGGTTTTGGGCTGGATTCCGCATGTCTTTTGTGGGGAAGTTGAAAATATCGACCACCTTTTTATTAACTGTAGTATGGTTAAGCAAGTTTGGAGTTGTCTTTCGGGGGAACTGCCGATTCCTATGGGATCTTCTATTTCAATGGACAGGTGGTGGAATAATTTATGTAAACCTGTTGGTATCTACAAAGACTACTTCATTAGAGAAAAATTTGCTCGTGTCTCTTGGTTCATTTGGAAGAATAGAAATAGTAAATGTTTTAATGGTCATACTTATGATGCGAAGACCATCATTAATAGAGCATTGGCCTACTGGAATGAAATTAAAGAGATATCCTCTTGTGTGATTAACAATAACAGGAAAATGGTAACCCACGTTGAGTGGTTCTGGCCCAAACACAACTACATCAAGATTAACTTTGATGCCTCTTGCTCGAACAGTGGCAATTATGCAATTGGCTGCATTGCTAGGAACCATCAAGGCAATGTCCTGGAATCTAAAGCTATTGGCATTAGAAGTTCAACTATCAATCTTGTTGAAGCTTGGGCAACTATTAATATGGCTATCAACTATAGGGATCAGAAAATCATCATTGAAGGTGACTCTAAACTTGTTATTGACTGCCTCAATGGTAGACTTGCACCTCCGTAGAGATTGGAAAGTGTCATCAAAGAAAGACAAAACCTAGTGAATTTCTTCAACTTAAATATCAAGTTTAGGCATGCGTATCGGGAAGCAAATCAAGTGGTTGACTGGATAGCTTGTAAAACTCTTTTCGATAAGGGGGTGGTAGGGGTCTTAGCTTTAGTGATTTTATTTTCATTTGTGAATTAGATATAAGGGGAAGAACTACCCCCAGGCTTGTGTAGCTCATCTTTTGCTATAAAAAAAAAGTACTAAAGGCAATCATGGGCCGAGCCAGATCCAGTTTAAAGGATTTATTTTTGAGCTAACTTAGATGTATTGGCCTTAGGTCGCATATCTAATATTCAGGCCTATTAATTTACTTTTTTGTCCATCAAATGAGAATGCAATTTGGACTGTAATTTGAACCAGATACACCTAGATCCAAATTCAATCCTATTAATGTTTGGATTTGACATATAGTATGCATATTGTTGGGCCAGTGGGCCTCATCACATATGTTTTGTAATATTTATGATTTGATCAGATTGGATTGAGGTGGACCCAGGTTCGATCAGAAAGAGATCTAGTATCTGAGATTCAAATTTGGTTTAATCTGATTTAATTTTTTATGCAATTGTATAATTATATATTGTTAAAAGTTGTATTGATGGTTTCTTTCCTAAGTAATGCTAATGGCATATAATTACAAAACGACAGATTTAAATAGGTTATTTGTACAAATTGATGTTTTCTTATGCCTTTGTTTGATGTAGGAATATTGCTAGTATCGTCAAGTGGTTGTCTGAGACTGGACAAAGCATAAATAAAGGCCTATATGTGAACTTAAAAGGTGATTAATTTTGTCCTTTTGTGATTAAAAGGCCTTTTAGCACTAGCTGTGGTCCTGATTCCAAATGTCTTAGGATTAGATTGAGCTAGCCAGCCCCCGCTTTGATTTGGTACCCATTCCAATTTCAGAAAGTAAGGTGAAGAGTAAGAGTGTCAAAGCACAATTTGATTAAAACTATTTTTATGCTTGTAGTTAAGATCAGTGCTCATTTTGGGGGTGTTCAACAATTTTGATTGGTTTTTTGTTTTGAAAACAAAAATAGCTCTTGCATGATCAAAGTTATATTGTTTTTGCTGTTGTAGCAGTTGTTTTTGTTTTAATAAACGAAATCAGTGTTGTTGATGTAGATATGTAGGCTGATTATTTGATTTTGGAGTGGTTTTTTACTGTTTATCATACGTATATTGTATATACGTATTCCTTTTTCAATTTATCTGTCCTTTTGAACTATTTCTGATATGGTATTAGAGTAGATTCGGTTTTAAACCTGTTATAAATTTTTCATTTTGCACTCGTCTATTTTTACTGAAAGACAAAGACAATAGAAGGCTATTCTTTTGACTTGTTGATAAACACTTTGGCTGCTATACAAGGACTGTTTCAATAGGCTATTTTTTGTTGTTTTCTTGTAAAAGACGAGGTACCGGATTTGCTTTTTTATTCAGATTTCATTATTGCTCGATTATATCACTATCAAACCATAGATTTGGTATCGCCCTCATCTCTTCTTACTTTCAACCCTAAACTTTCTTTTCCTTTTTGTTTTTTTTTGGACCGCTACGTAATCTATTGTATTTTGGATGCTTTTCTCTATTAAAATCAATCCCTAGTTTGTTGGGTTTATAGTTTCTAGTTGTTCTACATCATATTAGATCTGTTTTAAGTGGAACAAAGTCCGTTTTTCATACCTTTTCTTGTTGCAACACTTGCTTCTTTGGTGTTTTACTATTTAAATGGCTTTACACAAAAGGGAATTTTTGTCAGTTAAATTTGATGGAAGTAGCCATGCTTTGTCAAAGTTGCATTCCCAATTCTATGTTGAGGGACAAGGTCTCTAGGGTTATATTGATGGTTCAGTAACAAAACCCGATGAATATAATAGTAAGGATTTGAAGCAATGGAAGATAGATAATGTAAGAATTGCTTATTGGATTCTTGGATCAATTTAGACTAATATTGCTAGCTGTTCTAGTGAGGAGACTTAAGATTGCTTGGTAGATGCTTGAATACATGGAGAAGGTTTATTAATAGTCTAATATATCCAAATAATATTAGATTGAGACTGAAAATCTTTTCTTGCACTTAAGGGGAGAATAAGATCCAAGAATACTATGCATGTTTTGTAAATCTATGGATTGAATATGGATTGACAACCCTAATTCCCATGCACCTACTGCTTTTAAGTGGAGGTGGCTAGCACTATTGTTCATCTCATTAATTTGCTTCCTCCTTCTATTCTTCATAATACTTCACCATTTTAATGTTTGTTCTATCATCCAGAATTTCTCTTCACTTCATTGTTTTTGGATATATGCATTTTATTCATGCCCCCCNACACACACAAATGCACAAACCTCTATTCTCAATCAGCTTTGTGTGCTTTCATGGGATATAACTCAAATTATAAAGGGTTTTTTTGTTATGGTCCTAACAATTATTCATATCTAGATTTCTAGAAGTGTTGTCTTCTTTGAAAATTTTTCTTTCTTCACTCATATTGTTAAAGTACTTGCTCATTTAGTATTTGTTTTTCATTCTTTCGATTTTGTAAGTCCTTTGAGCTCCTCATCTACCATCCTCCACACTCTCCGTCAATACATCAAGAATCATATGGTTGTTCTAGATCTTTCTCCTCTACCCCCTTCACCACCGGCTCATGGTCCTCCTCCTTTGCATCATTCTACTCGTATTTCTAGACCTCCTAACTGTTATGGTTTTCCATCCAACCATAGTTCCTTCTCTACCTTTTTGTCATCTATAGATATTCCTAGAACTCATCAACGGGCTATGATTTTTATACACTAGAAAGAGACTATGGATGCTGAATTATACGACCTTTTTGAAAATGATACATGGGATCATATTTTTATACCTCCAAATGCCACATTTATTGGAAGTTGTTGGGTATATTATGTAAAGCTAAGCTTAGATGGGAGTCTTGATAGATTTAAGGCTTGTTTGGTGGCATAAGGATATAAAAAAAGAGTATGGAATAAATTGATTATGAGAAGACATTTGCACCTATGACAAAGATGGCTATAGCCTACCTAGTGTTAGCTATTTTTGGTCATCTAGACCTTTATAGCTAGTGTTAGCTATTTCTACATTGAGACAATGGGTGGATATTCATTAAATGGATGCTAAAAATGTCTTTCTACATGGTCATCTAAAAGAAACAATATTTATGAAGCCTCATTTGGGGTATTGTAATGATCAAGCAATGGTGTGTCACCTCAAGAGGTCTCTCTATGGTCTTAAACAAGCTCCCGGGTTTGGTTTGAAAGATTCCATTTATGGATGTGGGATTTATGCAAAGTCCTTTGACCTAGAAGTGACATGTTCCTCTCAATCTTGATGGCATTACTCATTTGAAGGACCTTTTGAGTCAATCTTTTAAGATGGAAGATCTTAATCCTCTTACTTCTTTGGCCTAGAAGTGACATGTTCCTCTCAAGGGTATTTTGTGATTGCTCTTGCATGCTTTCTGATGAGCAGTTAGTAGGCAAAATTTGTATTTATAAGTTGCCATTTATCCATAATATCAACATAATGTTGCTAATAGATTTATGCATGGTGTAGTTATTAGAAACCCATTCATAGGTAACCAATATGTTGACACAGTACGTTTCGCCCTTGTGCATGAGAAAGACCATATTAATTGTTTTTTATATAAAATATCAATTTTGCAATGCATTTTCTTTAAAAACTAGGTATTATAAAATGTTAAAAGAAAAGATTTGAAGAGGCAACTTGGCTCTCTTAAATCTTTGTCTCTCTTGACTCAAAAGAATCAAGAAGGGAAGTTCTTTCTACATCCCACCACCATTTGTCCATTCTCATCCACATTTTGAAACCTCACCAAATTTGGTCTGGGTTGCCATCAAACATAAATTCCTCTTATTCTTTCAACAAGTAATAGATTTTATTATATGTTTGAAAACCTAAAGCCCAAGTTGAGTTTCTCCTTTTGACTTTCCTTCTAAAATCATAATAAGTACTTTAAAATGATAAAAAAAAAAGTTTTTCTATATGTTGGATAGAGGTTAATTGTAGGGCTTATACATGTAACCTCAAAATCTTAGTTATAAACAAAATTGTTATGTATGCATAAAGAAAAGGTATTAACCATTTATTTTTCATTGCAATTACTTGTGGTCACTATTAACTAATAACTAATGCAAGTCAGTGACCAACTTTAGTTAGATAACACTTACAGCCCTATTGGTCCCCACCCCCACCCCCACATCTTATGTCAACTGACAATTTGACAATTGCCAAGTAGGGGTGTAAATGGATTGAATTCGGATTGAATCAAGCAATATCGAATTTGAATCCAATTAAAAATTTTGATATTCAAATTCGATTAAATATTTGAGTATTCAATTTGATCGATTAATTACTTTAGGTGATTAATATATTATAAATATTAGTTTTATTATATAAAGTATATAAGTATATAAATTATTTATATAATTTAAATATTATATAATTATATAAAATATTTAAATGTTTTATATTATTATATATAAGAATTATATAATCAATTATATTTATTGAATCGAATAATATCATATCCAAATTCAATTCGATTATGTTGAATCTCAAATTTGAAACTGAATTTTCAAATAATGTTGACACCCCTAGATGAACTGTCTTGCACTGGATTAAATATAAATAAAGGTTTTATGGGTGAAGCTTTACATCTAAGTAAAGTTGGAGATGGAGTGGGATGGGTGATGGCTAGAGGTGCAACTTGGGTCCAAATGGATCGAGCATTTCTCAAATTTAAAATGGGTCTGAACCCAAACACGAGCATGATGTAGTTGTTGGAATTCTCCAACTGGGACAATCCAACTTGCACCCCTAGACCCTAGTGGCTAGTGAAGGTGGGGATTGGACCGATTGGTCCCAGGTCAATGGAACAACATCTATTAACTATATCAACTGAACCAGC